CTGAGCCACCAGGCTTAGAATATATACCTGTATTATATGACCAGTCTGTCTGAGGCTGTCCCAGCTGGAAGCCCAACCCAGGGTAGCATCCTTTTTTTATTGTTATTATTACTTTTCTTTGGAGTATAGTTGCTTTACAATGTGTCAGTTTCTGCTGTACTGCACAGTGACTCGGCTGTATGTTTACATATATCCCCTCTTTTTTGGATTTCCTCCCCATTTAGGTAACCACAGAGCATTGAATAGAGTTCCCTGGCTGTATAGTAGGTCCTCATCAGTTAGCTGTTTTATACCTACTGTCAGCAGTGTATACATGTTAATCCAAAGCTTCCAATTCATCCCGTCTCACCCCTTTCCCCTTTGATATCCATCCATTTGTTCTCTATGTCTGTGTCTATTTCTGCTTTGCAAGTAAGATCATCTACACTATTTTTCTAGATTCCAGGTTTGAAAAAAAAAAAATTCCTGAGAACGGACTGCTGTCTGTGTTTGTGGCTCAGAACAGGGTGTGTTTTTTCCTCCGGGCCAAGAACTTTTTCCATTTTCACCGTTCACTTCTCTTCGTTGTCCCTCCCTCTCCTCTGGGTCCCCTCCACGGTGGACGGGTCGCCGCAGTGGGCCAGGAGCACAGCGGTCGATGGCACCTCTCAGCGGCACCTCTCACCTCAGGCAGAGGGTGCTAATTAAGCTCCCGGGTGGCAGTGCAGATAGCACCGCCCAGATCCCAGCGCCCGGCCACTGCTCATCTGCCCCACATGGCTGTGCTGGTGTAGGAGAACACAGTGGCAGTATAAATACAGATTCCTGGCTGTCTCAGAGCCAGGGACAGCAAGATTCACTCACAGTGGTGTCAAGCCTGCAGATCCCTCGGCTCCCTCTCCTCCTGCAGAAAGATGGCCCTTCCTCTAGTTTACCTGTTAACCAAGATGCAATGCACATATCATACAGTCCACCAATCTCAGTGTGCAGTGCAGTGGCTTTTAATGTTCTCAGAGTCACCGCAATCAATTTTATTGAATTAAAAACTTTTTTAATTAAAAAGTGTTTGGCCACACCACGTGGCTTCAGGACCTTAGTTCCCCAACCAGAGATCAAACCCCAGGCCCATGACAGTGAAAGCAGCAATTCCTAACCACTGGACCATCAGGGCATTCCCCCACTCTCATTTTTTTTTTCTGCAGTGAAGTTTAGAACGCCCAGAAGAAACCCCACACCCATGAGCTGTCACCTTCCAATCTCCCCCAGTCCTGTTGGTGTGCTTAGGCACTTCAGTCATGTCCGACTCTTTTTAATCCTATGGACTTTAACCCACCGGGCTCCTCTGTCTGTGGGATTTTCCAGGCAAGAATACTGGAGTGGGTTGCCATGCCCTCCTCCAGGGGATCTTCCCAACTCAGGGGTTGAACCCAGGTCTCCCTCATTGCAGGTGGATTCTTTACCATCTGAGCCACCAGGGAAGCCCCCAGTCCTAGGCACCTGTTAATCTGCTTTCTGCCTTTGTGGATGGACTTATCCCGCATGTTTCCTAGAGGCGGGATCCTGCACGGAGAGATCTTGTGTGCCTGACCTCTTTCACTCAGCAGGGTTTTTCCCAGGTCCATCCACATCAGAGCATGTTTCCACCTCTCATCCCTTCTTTGGCTGAGTACCTTGTATTCCACTGTGTGGATGGATGACATTATTCTTGGATTCTGTGTTTGCAAATTCACCTGCTGGCTAAAATGTATCTGTAACCCTCGAATCAGTCCTTGTGGAGTGTTCACAATCACGTGCAGAGATAGTTGAGGTAAAAAATGTGAGTCACTTAGGATTTCACTGGTGGTCCAGTGACTAAGGCTCCAGCCTAACCATTTTGAAGAATACAGTCCAGTGGCATTAAGTACATTCACAGTGTCAGGCAGCCATCACCACCATCCATCTCCGAAATGCTCTTCATTTTCCCCAGTTGAAACTCTGTCCGTGTTAAGCAAAATTCCTCATTCCCCTTCCCCATCCCGGGAACCCACCCACTCCATCCTGCGTTCTGTCTCTGGGAGTCTGACTCCTCTTGGAGCCTCTGAAAAGAGGAATCTGACCGTCTTTGTCCTTTTGTGTCTGACTTACTTCACTGAGCATCATCATGTCCTCACATTTTGTCCACATTGCAGCAAGTGTCGGAATTTCATTTCTTTTTCTGGCTGAGTAAAGTCCTGTAAAACAGTGATTTCTTGGTGCCTATTTTGTGAGAGACCTTTCCTCCCTCCTACCAGGGCGACAGTAATGAGAGTAAATGAGTAAATCGTGGCATATGTTGAGGGGGCCAACTCATCATTGTGTTACCTGGAATTTTGTCCCTTCTCCCCCTTTGAGAGTCTGGGGGTACCTGGGATCCCTAAAGCAAGACTGTAAGATGCAAGAACCTCAGAGTGTCTTCCCACCAGCCCAAGGAGGCTCTGATTCCACTTACTGTAGATTTAGTGTCATCCATCATTTTCTAAAAATTCTCTGGAAGCGGTGATTCTTCAAGGGTGTTCCTGGTTACCTTTTCTTCTGTGGGCTGTTCAATTACAGCAGAATCCATCCGACTTCAAGCAGGACCTTGGGTCACAGGAACAGCCTACCAGCCACACCAGGACACTGGGCGAAGGCTTCGTCTCTGCGTTTGTCCCGTCTTTATGTCCAGATAGATCATAATTGCTGGGGTGGAGTTCACCGGGTGTAGAAATGCCAGGAAGCGCTTGCCAGGGACCGTGGAGGACTCGGTTTACGATTTTCACCTTTGCCAAACAGGTGTTGGTATATGAGCGACAGCTTGGTCACCTGGGTCTACCGCAATAACAGGCACCGTTAGCCATTTACGATCTCCACGTCATGATGTCTGAGCTCACTGAGCACACAGCACCACCCAGTCTCCATGCTGCTCAGAACCAGAATCCCAACTACTTTCCTCGAGTGACGTAGAGAAACCAGGAGATGGGGAGGGGGTGCGTTGGGGACCCAGGAGCCAGATCTGGAGTGCCACTGGTCAGATTTCTTTTCAAGGCTGCTGTTTGTCTTAGAGCAAAGCTTTTAAATGGGCTTTTACCCTAAGAATAGATAAATTAGCCAAGCAGCCCATCCCAAGTAGGCTTGACTTACATGGTGGATTTGTCAAAAAAGAGGAGGCAAAAAATCAGCCTAATTAATGACAGCCTGGTTTTCTAAGAGCTGCATCTTTCCATCGGTGGGGAAGGGATCTGTGGGAACAGTGCCTCCAAATGTTCAGCACTTTTTCTTTTTTCCTGTACATATTTTTATCTTTGGCCGTGCTGGGTCTTTGTTGCTGCTTAGGCTTTTGTCTAGTTGCAGCAGGTAGGGGCAGGGGCGGGGTGCTCCAGCTTCTCACTGTGGTGCCTTCTCTTGTCCGGGGGCACAGGCTCTAGGCACGCAGGCTTCAGGAGCTACAGCACGTGGGCTCAGTAGTTGTGGCTTGCAGGCCCTAGAGCAGTGGCTCAGTACTTGTTTTGCACAGGGTTAGTTGCCCCATGGCATGTGGGATCTTTCCGGACCAGAAATAGAACCCCTGTCCCCTGCATTGGCAGGTGGATTCTTAACCACTGGACCACCAGAGAAGTCCTTCAATACATATTTTTAAATTAAAGAAGGCAAAAATTACATTCACACTTTTTAAACATTAATTCTAGCATCAACATTTTTAAAATAATTTGAAATTATTTTACTTTCAGGTTTCTCTTGATTTCTTACTTGTGTTCAACATCCTTTCCACTTGACATGGAGTCTGTTGCTAGATTTCTGGGTTTGTTTTTTTTTTTTTTAGATTTCTGGTTTTGTTGTTGTTTGTTTTTGTTCTTCATTTTTGTGTGTGTATTGATTGTGTTTGGGGGGTGTGTGTCCAAAATCCAGTATAATCATGAACTTCAAGTATAGTTGTAATAGATCAGTACTCGCCCATAGATTGTGACTTTAAAGTAACATACAAGGCATTGCTAGTAGCAAGTGTGAAAAAATTGTAGATTTGAGTCAGGTCGTCTTGTGAGTATATCATGGACTGTCATGTATCAAATATAAGTGGCACTGGACATTGGACTTCTTAATTGTCAGTGTGCTTATTTATCAAGGTGAAGATAAGTGTGCCTACTTTGACACTTACGGAGAGGATTGAATGAATTCACATATGAGTAGAACACAATCAAGTTTATGATCTGTGGCAGGGTTGGGGGGATAAGTTGCTATCAACAGTAACATCCCAACTCTGAAATTAATGAGCTAATGCGCACAGACAGCCCTGCTGGGCCCCTGTCGTGTGTTCGGTTGGTTTCCGATCACCTTCTACTATAGGATCAGAGCTTCAGATTCTGTTAGTGATTACGAACATCAGAGACCCTGTGGTCTCCACATCTCAGAATCACCCTGACAGCTGGTCTCAGATTAATTACAATCGCGTGTGTGATGTCGGTACCAGCTCCCTAGTCCATGATCCTAAGATTCTCTGTGGCGGATATAAGCTGGTCCTTGCTACCTGCCCCCTCTCCCCACCAAGACAGAAAAGGGCCTGGAGCGGGGGAGTTGCCGTGTCGGTGGTGTTTTACCCAAGGAGAAAATCCTGTGCGATTTCCACACTGAACGGTCACAGTGGGGACCCACTTCCTGCCCTCCAGACCCGCGGCTTCAGCCAATACAGTAAGAGAACCAGCTTTCCATTTCTAGAAGCATCCCCCCCCCTCCTTCGGGGTATAAAAACAGCACAGAGCAGCCGGGTCTCAGCGCCCAGAGCGTGACCATGGGGAACGGGCATTCCAAGAGCGGCGACAGGGAGGGCGCGCCCCGCAGCCGCCCTGAGCTCTCCTTCTACGGCTCTCTCCCCAGGAAGTGGAGCGAGAGCATCTTCCTGGACAATGAGCTGCTGACCTCCAAGATCCTGTCGGCGCTGCGGCCCCAGTCGGAGCAGGGCCTCCCAACGGGCCACCTGCGCTACCCCGCCCACTTCCTCAGCACCCACTCTGTCTTTGCCTCCGTCGCAGCATCCCTGAGGGAGCACCCGAGGGCCACCCTCCTGTCCGATGGCAGCCCGCGCCCGACCAGGAATGTCGGCATGACGGTCTCGCAGAAGGGGGGTCCACAGCCAGCACCCAGCCCAGCGGGAACCGGGACAAGACTTGGGTGAGTGGGGTCCCCCCTCTGCCACCAGGGACTGGCGAAGGGAGGGAGGCGGGGGGGCTTCCTCAGGGACCCCTCGGACAGCCTCTCCAGAAGGAGACCCTCGGCAGGACCACCCTACCAAAAGGCAAGATTCCCATTAACACCTACCTCGGAGATTCACTCCTCCTCCTTTTTCAAAAACGGTGCGTTCTGCACTGTTACATTTTAAGTGGGTAACCAACCGAGACCTACGGTATAGCGCAGGGGACTCCGCTCAGTGTTCTGTGGCAGCCTGGATGGGAGAGGGGCTTGGGGAGAATGGATACACGTGTGTGTATGACTGAGTCCCTTCACTGTACACCTGAAACTATCACAACACTGTTAATCGACCATACCCCGATACAAAATAAAGCTCAAAAGGGAAGGGAAAAAAGCTGTGTTCTGGGCTTCCCAGCCATTTGGAGCCAGTTTGCTTCCTGCTCTTGAAGGACCCTTGGACAGGGCTCCTTTCTGTCCTGCAGACCAGGCAGGAAGTCTGCTGAGGTCGCTGCGGAGTCTGTATCCTATTATTTATGCTTTAGACTGATTTTCCTAGGGCTTCGAGATGGTTCTCGAAGTGTTGCATTCAGCAGTGTGCAAGAAGAAAAACCTCATGTTAAAAAAAAAATGTTGCTGCATGAGTCAGTGGGGCAAGAAGCTGATCTTCTTTTCCCCTAGAAAAGATTCTCCCTCCAGTCTGGACTAGGAATGAAGCTGTGTCCACCCTGCTCTGGCTGGAAAGAATTCTGGGGATTCCAGAGGGCGCCAGTGGCTAGGAAAGGAAGCATTTAATTAATATACCCTTAGAATGTACTTGGGTGGCTTCCCTGATGCTCAGATGGTAGAGAATCTGCCTGCAGTGCAGGAGACGGGTTTGATCCCTGGGTCAGGAAGATCCCCTGGAGAAGGGAATGGCAGCCCACTCCAGTATTCTTGCCTGGAGAATCCAGTGGACAGAGGAACCTGGCGGCCACAGTCCGAGGGGTCGCAAAGAATCAGACACGGCTGAGTGACTAACAACGATAAATGGAATATAACCTTTAAAAGTTGAGTCAAAAAAATTGTGAATCACTATGTTATACTCCAATAACTTACATGATATTGTACATCAACCATACCCTCCCCCTCCAAAAAAAAAAAGTTAGTTTGATGGAAGAACTCGTCATGTCACATTCACAGGTAGTGTCCTAATTTTCAAAAATGATCTGTGACAAGGACTTCCCTGGTGGTCCAGTGGTTACGACTGGGTGCTTCCATGGCAGGGGGTACAGGTTCAGTCCCTGGTCGGGGAACTAAGATCCCACAAACCATGCAGCACAGCCAGAAAAAGGAAGGAAAAAAACAAAGATTTGTGACAGAGTTAAGGTTTATATTGACATCCAGAAAGTTCTCAAATAGTATCTAATCAAATCAAATAGCAGCCTGATTTGCTCTTATAGACTGTGTGTTTGTATGAGTGTGTGTTTGTGTGTGTGCTTCAACTTTTTTAAAGTTGGTTTTATGTCTGTTTAGACCACTAACAGGAGAAATGGATGAAACTGACACATTGTTTCCGAAGCTCAAGCAGGTGGCCGAGGACTCTCTTTTTCTTACATTTTCCAGCACTGAGCCCATCTTCACAGACGGTACGGTCACCCTGATCCTTTGCCGGGTGTCACTGGGAGGCATCGAGACCCACATGCAGGCATCCAGGGGATGAGGGCGGGGGGTAGCCCCTGAGCCAGCCAGGCCCCAGCCCCCGAGCAGCAGCCTCCTGTCCTTCCCTCAGACCCCTACACTGCCTCGCTGAAGGGTGAGATCGAAGCAGACGCCCGTGAGTTCGAGGCTGAGTCCTGGAGCCGCTCTGTGGACCCCGAGTATGTGAAGAAACAGAAGAGGGAGGTGGTGAAAAGGCAGGATGTGCTCTACGGTAAGGAGGCCTGCACCCCTTCTCTTTCTTCTTTTCTAGTTTGTTTTTAATGGATTCCACTGGGGAGCCGGGGCTCTACTATTGACCCTCCCTGAGACCACGTGGCCCCTCCACTTGCTCCCCCCACCCCCGGGCAGCTGGGCCTGCCGGGCCAGGGATGAGGCGGCCGGGCAAGACTTTGTGAGAATCAGTCCCCAGGGACAGGAATGGCCCAGTGCCCAGTCCTGAGTCATCCCCACCGTGGTGGTGACCCCGAGGGAGAAGACCACCCGAGCCCATCCCAGCCGTCCCCAGTCAGATGACCGCAGACAGGCCCGGACAGAGCCGCAGTGGGGGCTCTGAAGGCAGGTCTGTCCATCTGAATGTGACCGTAACACTGGCTCCCAGGTGGGCACCCCTTCCCAGTAACCATCAGAGAAGCTGGCCGTGAGCAGCCACTCTCCTGAGACTGGCTGTCATGGTCACCATGGAAACCATAGCTCCCAGACACTGCCCAAACCTGGGCTGGTGCTCCCCGCGGGTCCCTCCAGGCCTCCCTCCCTGCTGCTCAGTGGTGTCCACTCACCAGTGGACACTCAACTCCTTCCGCGTTTTACACACTCAGCTCCCTGCCAGGGCCAGAGCAAGTGGGGGTGTGGGCAGGGAGGGGAGCCAGGCCAACCAGGGGTCCTGCAGACAGGGCCAGTGGCGGGGCCAGTCCACCACTTCCATCTGGACAGCCCTTTGCCTTGCTGTCTCCACTGCTGGACAAGCACAGAGTCCTTCCAGCCCCGTGGCTGGCAGCCCTGGAATGGGCCAATGCTGTTAGGGGTTTCCTTTTTATTTTATATTGGAGTATAACTGGTTAACGGGCTTTTCTGATGGCTCAGTGGTTAAGAGTCTGCCTGCCAAGCAGGAGACACGGGTTTGATCCCGGGGTTGGAAAGATCCCCTGGAGAAGAAAATGGCTGGCTACCCACTCCAGTATTCTTGCCTGGGAAATCCCATAGACAGAGAAGCAGGGCTCCAGTCCATGGGGTCACAAAAGAGACACATCTTAGTGACTAAACAACAGCAATAGCCGATGAACAACATGGTGATAGTTTCAGGTCGATAGCATCAGGAATCAGCTGTATGTATACATGTATCCTATTGACTTCTGTTCCACCTCTGACAGCTTCAAGACCTGAGTTAAACAACAGAAAACCTTCATCACAAAATCTAATCTTTCTTTGCTTTTAACGTGAATTAAAAATCCTCCCTTGAGCTTCGCTTTTCCCATCAGTTACAGTCTGGGGCAGGTCTCTGACACAGCACCAGCGTGTGAGTTTCACATCCCAGGGAGGGATTTCCAGCAGAACAGTCTTGTTTCAAACAGCCTGAAAACATCTTCAGTTGACAGTAGACAGAAAACCCTCCTGTGAAATTGAGGTCTGGGTACACATCCGGACCTCTCTTTCCTGGTGTCTGTCCACTCCCTAAGCTGGGCCCTGGGCAGTGCTGAGCCAGGGAGGACGGGAGGCCTGGCCCCTGGGAGGTCAGACCACCACGATGAGGGCTTCAAGGAAACCTGAGAGGCCAGACTGGTCCATAGTGAGACAAGGGAGGGCCTAGCCAGGGTGTCCACCTGCACCACTAATTCCTGCATCCCCGTCCCCGCAGAGCTGATGCAGACAGAGGCCCACCATGTGCGGACGCTCAAGATCATGCTCAAGGTCTACTCCCGGGCCCTGCGGGAGGAACTGCAATTCAGCCCCAAGGCCATCAGCCGCCTGTTCCCAGGCGCGGACGACCTGCTGGAGGTGCACGGCCACTTCCTGTGTCGGCTGAAGGAGCGCCGCCTGGAGTCACTGGAGGAGGGCAGTGCCTGCAACTACATCATCCAGAAGATTGGGGACCTCCTGGTTCAGCAGGTGGGTATGGCCAGACCCACCCCCACCCCGCTCTGTCCTGTTTGCTGAGAGCCCAGCCCCCGAGAACAGTGGTCCTGGCCTCTCACAGCTGCACACGCTGCCACCAGCTCAGAAACACCGAGGCCTGAACAGCCAACGTGCTTGTCGAGACACCGTCCGGTGTATATGCTGTGCTTTTGTTTGTTTGGTTGGTTGGTTGGCCAGTTTTTACTTTTTTTTGGTCTTGACACCTGCGTGGTGTTTGAACCACTGCCATGGATGGCAAGGCCATTGACCCCAAACTGACTTTTGAGTGGACTTCTGGGCCAAGCCCAAGATTGACAGAGGGGACCCAAGACCCCTCATCTGCCCTCAAAGCGCCCAGAGCATGCGAGTCACCTAACTAAGAAGACGACCCTGTCATGAAAAGAAGACCCTTTTCACCTCTGAATTTTTTCTGATATTCTCTCGCTTAAATGTATTCTTCCTGGTCGGATTTCAGGGTGTTTTACAAGTGCCTATGTGACACGCAAAAGTTTTCTCCTTTGCCCTTTTGGTGCCCTGTTAATGAGACACCATGTGCCGAAGCATTTTGTTTGAGGCCAGCGAGCCAAACAAGAGAGTGAAACCCCAAGTCAGGTCAATCTGTGGTTTAGCAGAGTCAGGCGAACGAGGTGAAGACGTTCCCCAGCAGTTTCCGTGTTTCCCCTAGTAACATGTCCACACCTCTCTTCAGTTTTCAGGTGAAAACGGGGAGAGAATGAAAGAAAAATACAGCGTCTTTTGTAGCAGTCACAACGACGCTGTCAGTCACTACAAGTTGCTGCTGCAGCAAAACAAGAAATTTCAAAACTTGATCAAGGTAAAAAAAAAATTATTTCTTTATACTAAAAACGTTTTTTTGTTTTTGTTTTTCACACAAAACTATAGGCATTTGGAGAACTTTATAAACGACTTGTTATAAAGCAGTGATGTTCCAGGTTCTGCCTCATTTTTAACCACAAAGTCATTCAGAACACGGCCATGAAAGCTCTGGAAATTCCCCGGGTGTAAAGCACAGCAGGCGTGGTTTTTGTTTCCACCACAGTAGAGTGGCCCCTGAGATGCCACTCAGTGGGTGACCACCGTCCCTCAGACTGTCGAGGGGACACGAGTGTCATCACACGGGGCCACCCTGCCCCTCCAGAGCCACCTCCCCTGCCTCAGATGTTCTAGCAGACACAAGGCCTATAAGCCTTTGCCTCTCTCTGTCCTCCACCCATCTGCTCCCCACCTGTCCCCATCAGCCCATGGAATGACCCACACCTGTCTTCTGCCTGACAGCATGTGGGTGCTCAGGGCCCGGGAGCCAAGACCCCTGCCTGCCGCATCCTGGGAGGTGCTCCTGGGCCAAGGCCATGGGGCACAGTCAGTGTGTGCCCTGCAGAGGTACCAGCACACGGTGCCCCAAAACAGCTCCACGCCTGCAGCCTGTGCCCCAAAGTGACACCCAGTAAATAACGGTCTAGAGCGAAGGGCGGAGAGTCATTAAATTTCACTCCATTGTCCCGGTAGCAGACTGATGGAATAGGGAGAGGGTCGTCTAGTGGTCTGAATTCATCTGGTGATGAGCACGGGGCCAGGCTGCCTGGCATCCTGAACCAGAAGCCCCTCGCAGGTGGGGGTTTCCCACGAGACAGAAGGGAACAGAGCCAAGTCTCAGGTGTCTGTCCCCTCCCCTCCCCTCCTCTTATGAACTGGCGCCCAGGACCTCCCCGGCAGTCCAGTGCTTAAGACTCCACGTTTCCAATGCAGGGGGCGCAGGTTTGATCCTCATCAGGGGAATTAAGATCCCACATGCCACCATGGCACAGTCAAAAATCCAATGGTTCCTGGCCTTCCTAAAACACAAACCAGAGCAGTGGAGACAGACAAGCAGAAGGAAGCATGGGAAGCTGCCCTCGGCCCCCACTAAGAAGTGGCTTCAGGGTTTCCCTGGTGGTCCAGTGGTTAGGACTTGCCACCTTCACTGCTGTGGACCCGGATTCAATCCCTGATTGAGGAACTAAGATTCCACAAGCTGCACAATTCAGCCAAAAAAAAGAAAGGATGGCTTCAGATGATCGCCTCTTTGGGCTGTTAGCCAGAGGCATGCACCAGCAGCCCCAGGGAGCTGCTGCAGGAACCACAGGCCCAGCTGCATCAGAAGACCTCCACAGCCATCAGCAGTGTTAGGGTCTCTGCACATGTGCACGTGTGCATGTGGACAGCTCTCCGGTGATCCCCAAAATCCACACCAGCTGGTTTCTTCCTCATGGCTTTTGCAGAGCCCTGCATTTTACAGCAAGTGAGTCAACCTCTGGCTTCTTGGCCTTGCTGTAAACAGCAGGCACTCCTTGCTTTCTTTTTTTAATTTTATATTTAGTTAGTTATTTTTGACTGTGCTGGGTCTTCATTGCTGAATGCTGGCTTTCTCTAGTTGTGGCAAATGGGAGCTACTCTTCATTGTGGTGCATGGGCTTCTCACTGCAGTAGCTTCTTTTTGAGAAGCACAGGCTCTAGGGTGCACGGGCTTTAGTAGTCACAGCACGTGGCCTCAGTTGCTCCACGGCATGTGGCATCTTCCCGGACCAGGGTTCAAACCAGCGTCCCCTGCATTGCGAGGTGGACTCTCAACCACTGGACCACCAGGGAAGCGCAGTCCCTGCTTTCAGCTGCCTGGTGAAGCAACAAAGAAAAGGTCCCCGTGAACTGATAAAGGAAAGGGTGCCCAGCCCTCCGTGTCCCACTGTGAATGATTTGGCAGGAAATAGGTTGCCCACATGGCATGGCTTTGTCGTCTCCATTTCACAGAGAATCGGCAACTTCTCCATCGTGAGGCGGCTCGCTGTGCATGAGTGTATCCTCCTGGTCACCCAGCGCATCACCAAGTACCCCGTGCTGGTGGAGCGAATTATCCAGAATACAGAAGGTATGCCAGCCCTCCTGCCTTGCCTGTCCATGTTGGGTGGGGAGGAGGGTCTCAGTCTCCCTGCCCCCTGTCCTAATGGTGGATTAGACAGTCTACTCTGCAGTCTGTCCTGGATTCAGCTGGGCTTAATGATCATTAATTGAGCTCCCATCTTGCAGAATCTACCCTCCCGGGGGCTGGGATTTCCAGCTTGAGAAACAGGGTGTTTGGTCTCCCCTGCCTGCATCCCCCCTTCAGTTCCTGCACAGTCTCGACTGGAGCAGCCCCAGTCAGTATTGAAGAGTCAGTGGAAAGGTACAGGCTGTGCTCTGGCTCAGGTCACTCCTGGGGGACCTCGGTGTCACATGCCTGGTGCCATGGAGGGCAGAGAAGATGGGCATGTAGCCCAGCCCAGGGTTCCCGGAGGCCAGGGCAGTGCTGACCACACCTCCCTCATTTTCTCCAGGGAATTTGGGCAGTGGGGGGATACAGGAGTGCCGCTGCCCTTGGAGTGAGAGGAACCAGCCCCTGGTGATGGTGGGGGGACGGAGTGGGAGTCTCTTCTGGAGAGCTGGAAGGCAGGGGGAGGCTGGTTACCCAGGAGCTGCCAGCAGGGCTGTGCAGGGCCATTTTAATCGCTTGAGGCGCAAGCCTCAGCTTCTACATTGGACAAACACTCTATCTTGGTGACAGCCAGGCACTGGGCTGTTACCTTTACTTAGGAGAAGCGTTTACCTCTCAGGAGATTTGAGCTAGGAGGTGATTCTCGAGGCCACTCTGAGCCATGGCCTCGGGAGACACCTTCTTGACGCCATAGCCTGCCTGCCTCCATCACGTTTGTGGATGCAGACCAAGGAAAGCGCTAACTCTGCTATGTGTGGTAGCTGGCTCCGAGGACCACAGAGACCTGACCCAGGCCCTGAACCTCATCAAAGACATCATCTCACAAGTGGACGCCAGGGTCAGCGAGTACGAAAAGGGCCAGCGCCTCAGGGAAATCGCGGGAAAGATGGACCTCAAGTCCTCCAGCAAGCTCAAAAATGGGCTGACCTTCCGCAAGGAGGACATGCTACAGAGGCAGCTCCACCTGGAGGGCACCCTGTGCTGGAAGACCACCTCTGGGCGCCTGAAAGGTAAAGCCCTGCCCCAGCTGCTCCTGCTGGGTGCCATCATGGAGTGGTCAGCACCATCTTGGATCAGTGGCACCATCTTGGGTTGGTGGATATCATCCTGGGTTGATGGTACCATATTAGAGTAGTGGGTGTCACCTTGGATCAGTGGCACCATCTTGGAGTGGTGGGTGTCACCTTGGGAATGATGCGCACCATCTTGGATCAGTGGTACCATCTTGGAGTAGTGGGTGTCACCTTGGGAGTGGAGTGGTGGGCACCATCTTGGAGTGGTGGGTGCCATCTTGGATTGGTGGCGCCATCTTGGAGTGATGGGTGCCATCTTGGATCAGTGTTACCACCTTGGAGTGGTGGATGTCATCTTCAAGTGGTGGGCACTATCTTGGCTCCATGGCACCCTTTTGAAGTGGTAGGTACCAGCTGACACAGCCACCACTTCACGGCTAAAGGGAGGTTACATACCAAGTCGGGACGAGCTCAGAATCAGAGCGGGAGCGAGGTGGAGGTGGCTGTAGGGGTGCCCTCTGTCTCCAGTGATGGAGACAGTATGGTGCACACAGCAAGGGCCACCAGGTGAAGGGGGCGCAGCGAGTCACCGACTCCTGAACAGAAACCCAGCATATCATGACTCCCTGATTCAGCAGAGGCCTCAGAGTTCTAAACAACAGTAACAGGCCCCAGTGGGGGTAGAGGATGCGACCTGGGTGTGTCCGTCCCCCCCCCACCGCCCCCCCCGCTGCTTAGGGTGAGCTCCAAGCCCTCCTTTCGAGATCTGCTGTTCAGTTCCAAACCAGAGCTCGCTCAGGGCTCATCCCTGAGTGTCTTGTCCTTTCCATGAGCCTCTGGAAACAACCATCACCTGTCCTTTGGCCTCAGCATCTTTTTAAAGATCTCTGGGGAAGTGTCACAGGTGGCCAGATGACAGGAAGTGTCTGTTCTCCATGTGAGCAGGTGAGCAGCGAGAAGATAGGGTTTACAGCTGAGACCCCCTCTGTGCCCAGCACCAAGGCAGGTGGCTGAGGCCCTCCGCCCATGGGGCTCAGGTCAGTGGGCAGACAGAAGTAAACAGGCAAGCAGTGGAAAGCTCAGTACGTGCTGCAGAGGAACCCCACAGGCTTCAGTGCAGGAGAATTCCATGGGGAGGGTATCTAACTGGGGTGGGGAGTCCTGAGCAAGCTCTCCGAGGAGGCGGTGTTTTCACTTCCCACAGCACTAGTGCCGCTGTTGGAGACACAGCTTAGGATTCGCACCCCTGTGTACCAGCTCTTCCAGGCAGTCACCTCACCATGTCCCCACAGGGACAGGGCTCCAAACCTGCCACCACCATGAAGCTCGGGCGCCTGGGGACGAGAGTATGGCTGCAGCAGGAGGCAGGATGCGAGGGTCCAGGGGTTCACTGTTAAATGTTGAAGCCAGGAGCGGGGAGGGGGGGTCAGGTCGAAGCCGGGACACCCCCCAACACCAGGCTCCTGCAGAAGCATCATGGCACCGACTTAGCGCCACAGGGCCGAGGCCACCTGGGCTTCCGTCTGCCTGGCGGGATCCACACGGCCACGGGGACCCTGAAAGATGTCTCCTTTCATGCCCTCCCCTTAGACGTCCTCGCGGTCCTGTTGACAGACGTGCTTCTGCTGCTCCAAGAAAAGGATCAGAAGTACGTCTTTGCATCCGTGGTACGTGTCCTGTCCCTTCACTGCTTGAAACCTGCCTGCATGGAGGCGGCCAAGGGGCGGGAGCAACCAGGGGGCTACCTCAGTGCTGGGGCCGGGGGTGGCCCAAGAGCATGGGGCTAGAAGAGCACACCCATATGTTACCCCGTCGTCCCTGGACCTCCCAGGCCCAGAAGGTGCCAGCAAGACAGGAGTAGACTTTGCCAAAACCAGGGTCCCATGCAGTGGCCTGAGGGAGCCTCAGGGTCATGCCAATGATGCCCAGTCACCCCTGAGGATGTGACTCAGGCAGCCGCCATCCTGTGAGCTGTGGCTGTGTTGGCCCCATGGCCCACCGGTCCTCGAACAGCTGCACTGCAGGAGCTTCCCGCTGGGGAGGACTCAGAGTCAGTCTGGGGTCCATCCACCCTACCTGGCCCTCATCCACCAGGGACTTGGCCTCCTCCCCCGCTCGCCTGGGTGACCTGTGGATACCCATGGCTGAGTCCCCCTGGAGAGGAAGGGGGACTTTATCACTCAATTCTGGAGTCTCGTCCCTTTCCCAGAGACTTAAACTGGCTTCTCAAGAAGTTTCCAGAAGTGGGTCACACTGTCATGCCCTTGAAAATGGTCTCACCCTGACCCCAGCAAGCCCCATGTGTGTCGTGGGGCCTACGAGGGTGACACCACGTCTGCTGCTCCTGTCTGTGCCTGGATCCTGATCACCACCTCTGCTCTCTGAGAGTAGTCCTGCTTGGGTCAGGGCCACCCCCTCAACCCTCACTGCAACTTAATCACCCCTTGAAGCACACGGGCCTTCCTGCCACCCATGGCTGCTCCCTTGGCGGTGTTGTTGCTCACTCAGTCCTGTCTGACTCTTTGCAACCCCCTGGGCTGCAGCCTGTCTCCATATACCATCATGTTTTCTGAGGTTAGGACCTCAGCATATGGATTTAGCTAGGGTCAGTGGCGGCTGGAGACCAGTTCAACCCATATCAGCCAGTTAAAAGCGTGCCTTTTACTGGTCGGTCAGAGCACTGCCTCTTGGGGGACGCCCAGAGATTGGGAATAGTGCTTGGCTCTGGTTGTTTGGGACACAGGTTTGGGAGGAAGATGTGTTTATTACCATAGACCACCAGCTGTTGTATTGCTGAGTTTTGTACAGCGTACATGCATTAGCGATCATAAAACATCTTTTAAGCACATTGAACAGACACATGAAAAAGGATGTGAGGATATCATCACCATAGTGCCTTTTTCCCCCTAGATGGCAAAACCTTTCTGCCTTGAATTAGAGGATAAGCGGGGTGCACGCCCCCACCCCCCACCCCTGCCCCCTTCCCCTCCAGCTCGCAGTTCCACCGCTGTGGGGCAGCAGCAGGTACAGGGTCACCCTCCCTGTCCCCTTCCCACCCGTGCAGGACTCCAAGCGCCCCGTCATCTCACTGCAAAAGCTCATTGTGAGGGAGGTGGCCAACGAGGAGAAAGCCATGTTTCTGATCAGCGCCTCCCTGCACGGGCCCGAGATGTATGAGATCTACACCAGCTCAAAGGAAGACAGGAACACCTGGATGGCCCACATCCGGAGGGCCGTGGAGAGGTGAGGGGCTGCTCCCTCGGCCGTGTTGTCGTTGCTCAGTCACTCCATCGTGTCCGACTCTGCAGCCCTCTGGGCTGCAGCCCACCAGGCTCCTCTGTCCGTGGGATTTCCCAGGCAAGAATACTGGAGTGGGTTGCCATTTCCTTCTCCAGGGCATCCTCCCGACCCAGGGATCGAACCCCTATCTCCCGCATTGGCAGGCGGGTTCTTTACCACTGAGCCACCAGGGAAGCCCTTGGCTTCGGCGGCTGGCAAGTCGGCAGAGGCCTCGAAGTGCCTGTGAGGGTGCTGGGGTCACAGGCAGGCGAGAGACCTCTGGGCTTCTCCCCTCCCCCTCACTCCACCTCAGCGCTCTGTCGTCCCCTCGTCTGAGGGCAGACAGACGGCACCATTGGGCTCCTTCTGACGTGACTGACAATGCGCGTTTCTGAAACAGGGTTGCGGGGCTGGCAGCTCTAATCTTCTGTATTGGTGGGCTTTCCCCCTCCCACGGGGGCAGGGGGTGGTGCTGTCCCTCCTCCTCCAGCCACAGACCCCAGCCCAGTGGCTCTGTGTGATGCCTGGCTCATGGTCCACAGATGGGGATGGGGGTCCGGTCCCCACGCCCAGCCTGCTCCCTCTCTACATGCAGAAGCTTCCCTTAGTCTGCTCAGCCTCCCCTCAGTACTCAGCTTCAGCTTTGCTGGGCTGGCATCCTCCCATACCTGGGAGGTCCCCAGGGAATGAATTGCCCCAAGTAGTGTCCAGGTATTTAAAACCTATGGCCGGTTGTTTCCCAACACTTGGAGACTGGATGCGTGCTAATGACTGTGTCTCCCCTTCAAGGTTGACCATTAACAAGCTACATCTCTTAGCACATCAGAGATGCTTTTTGCAGTGGCTTCTCCAGACGGACCTCTGCCAGCTCAGAGGCAGCCAGTCCCTGGGGTGCGCTCACCCATCCGCCCCCTCTCCCTGCAGCTGCCCAGACGAGGAGGAAGGCCCCTTCAGCGAGGCCGAAGAGGAGAAGGCCCGTGCTGTGAGGCTGAGGGACTTCCAAGGTGAGGGGGGACGGGGTCAGTCCGACCTCCGCACCCATGACGCAGCCCTCGCCCAGTGACACGGCCCCGGGAGCCCTCCTGGGCCTAGGGTGGCCCTTCCCTTCTGTCCCATGCGGGCTGGCCATGGAGCAGATCCCTGCCCACACAACCAGGACTTGAACTGTGGGATGGCCTGTGCCCTAGGGCAGTGATCTTCCAGGGAGCATGTGGGAAAGGGATGGGGGCGACTCTGGGACTCCCCCTGGGGTCCTCACTCAGGAAAGGACTCGACATGGTATCCCACGTCAAGTGCGCCAGACCCTCCGGGTCCCTGTGAGAGCTGGGACTCCCACAGCCTCCTCCTGAAGTCGAGTGGACTCAGGCCATCCTGGTTTTGCAGCCAGTCACACCAGCTTCCTCTTCCACCTGGATATTTTTTTAGCTATGTTATCGAACTGTATTTCACATACCACACAGGTCACCCATTCACAACATGCCATACAGTGGCCTTTAGTCTATATCAGAAGGTGGTGCAACTGTCCCGACAGTTTCAGGCTATTTTCATCACCCCAGAAAGAAACCCCATCCCCATTAGCCATCACTCCCATTCTTTCTCCACCTCTAGACCCTGGGAACCTCTGTCCTACTGTCTGTGAATTTAGCTATTCCAGACACCTCGTATCAATGGGGACATTTGTCCCTTTGTGACGGGTTTATCTCACTGCATGTTTTTCAAGGTTCATCCGTGCAACAGACTTTCCTTTTTTAAAGCTGAATAATATTCCATCTTATAGCTGGACCACATCATTCTTATTCTCCTCCCCAGTTTTCACAGCTTCCTGTGCGATTCAGCAAGGTCATTGCCAAGAATAAGTCCACGTACTTCGTGATCTCAGTCAATCCCCTCTTCTCCCTTGCTCACACAGTCTTTATATTCAACTTAGATAACATTGAAGCCGTAAGCACCTAAAATTAGGTAGTGCATATTTTATTTCTCTGTGTGGGGAAAGGTGCACATTTGAGGGTATTCAGGAATAAAATTATTCAAAAGAAAGGGGAAATCCCCTTGACCCCGAAAGTATCATGCTAACATAGTGCGCATTTCATCCCGTCCTCACTCTTGTATTCCTGCCAAAGGGTAATAAAGTACAGGCCTTGCCCAGACACATCTCCACAGACACTTCAGAGTCATCCAGGAATGTCTCATTGTCACCCATTCCTGACAAGAGTCATGGTGAATTAGAAATAGCTCTTCTTCACTGAGCTCTTCTTTCCCATCTTGGACCAAAAGCCAATCTCATCCTTCACACCGGAAGGTCAAGGACCCTCCCATCAAAGCTAGGATCGAGATGGCCCCCACCGCCACCATCACCACCATTAGTATCTCCACCCTGGACTTTCCAACCAGGGTAATAATGGGAAGACTCAGAAGTAAGAGATCACAGTTGCAGGAATTCCCTTGTGGTCCAGCGGTTAGGACTCCACACTTCCACTGACAAAGGCACAGGTTCAATCCCTGGTTGGGGAACTAAGCTTCCACAAGCCATTCTGCACAGCCAAAAAGAAAATGGGGGAAAAAAAGTCACAACTGGAAGGGAGGTGGCAGAATTATTTTTTGCAGGTGACAGGATTACCTGCCTAGGAAATCCGATAGAATCAACTGGAAAACTATTGGAAATGGTAAGAGAGCTCAATAATTTAGCTAAATAGGATATATATATATATTTATACTAGCAGTCACCAGTGAGAAAGTCTAGTAAAATAAGTCATAGTCACAGCAGCTGAAAAAGCTATAGGGACTTCCCTGGTGGTTCAGTAGTTAGGACTCCACGCTTCCGTTGCAGGGGACTCAGGTTGATATCCTTGGTCAGGGAACTAAGGTCCCGCATGCTGTGAAATGTGGCCAGAAATAAAAATTTAAAAAGTATAAAACCCAGAGACTTGTAAGAAGGCTTTCAAGATTAGAAAACTAAGTCTTTAAAGGCTCTCGGTTTGTCCCAAACTAATAAATTTAGTCTGCTGTGGCCCTCCCCCACACTCCCACCACGTTTGATCTTTTTATAATGGAGGAAAGCAAGCAAAAGACAGGGCTACACCCTTGCCTGCCTCTTGGGAATTCTGGATGAAGGGAGTGATCCAGGACAGGAAGAGGGTCAGCGGGAACGCCGGAGGCCCACCTGGCCCAGCAAGGCATCATGACAGCCGGCTCCTGGGGGGAAACCACCCCAGAGGAGGCTGACCACCGCCTCATGGCTGCTTTGCAGAACGACTGAACAGGAAAGACCAGCAGATCGCCCAGAGCCTGAGTGAGAAGCAGCAGATCTACCTGGAGATGGCCGAGATGAGCGGGCTTGAGGACCTCACCCTGTCTCGGCTCCTCTTCCGGGGAGGAGACCCCCCCGAGAACCTGCAGGGCGAGCTGATTCTCAAGTCAGCCATGAGTGAGAGTGAGTAGCCACCAGCCCACCCCTGCAGCCCACCCCCATCCTTCGTGGGGTCTCCCGGGCACCCCAGGCCGGGCACACAGCCCCATGTGGCCTACAAGCCACCCCATCCCCACGTGCTTCTGTCCGCTTCTGTTCTGTTAAAGCTGGAAGGTCTCTGGACAGTCGGGTGCCAGCCCCTCGCTGCAGACTCAAAGCACCATCTCACATTCACTCAGTAAACACTCCCAGTGCCCGCTGCGCTCCAGGCCCCGTGCTGGGCATGGAGGATCTCAGAGTGACTGAGATCGTTCCTCTTCTTTCTGATGAGTGGATCACTGATGCTCTCCCCAGAAAAAGGCACACATACAAGTTTGGTGGGTCATTTTAGGGGCTCCTGGTCCCGTAGCCAAGGGATGGTGCTAGCCGATAAGCAGCCTGCTTCCTGGAGCCATCAAGGCCCTTGTGGAGCCCCTAGCATCTTCCATGCGGCTTCTGAGTCCTGTGCCAGGCCAGGGGGTTTGCTGGGCAGGATGGCCAGTGCTTGTTCAATCTGACAGCACAGCCAGGGCTCTTCTTTCATTAGCCGGCAAGACAGACACAGCCCTGCCCTCCAGAACTTTCCATCAGAGTGAAGAGAACAGGCGGGAAGGGTCCCATGTGGACTCTCAGTCTTGCTCCCTCCAGCCAAGCTGACATCTCCCATGTCTCTAGTCACCACTGTTCCTGGGCCCTGAGACCTCCTCATGTCTCGTGCCTCAGCCTAGAATATTCTCCCCACCTCCTCACCTGGCCAGTCTGTGTGTCCTCAAGCACCTTGTGTGACCACCCCTGCCCCCTCCCGAGGCCACCTCCTGTGTCTCCTGACCATCTGTGTGACCGTCAGCACACAGGTAGTGGCCATGCTGAGTTCCCCCCCACCGGCCCAGGGCCCCCCACCTCGCACCCTATGGTCCCCTGAGATCCCACCTCTCCTGTAGATTGGCATGTCCTAGGTGCAGCACCTACGCAGGGGGTGCACAGGCTAGGGGGGTAACAGACACCCTATGAGGCCTCTGCCTGGGTGCCTGAACTCGGCTCTGAATGCCAGGGCGGAGCCATAGGGTGACTCGGCGCCCCTCCGTCCCCTTCCTTCCGCAGTCGAGGACATCCAGAGTTTCATCTGCAGGCGGCTGGGCAACGCCTACGGCCAGGCAGAAGACAGGGGCAGTGCGGGCAGCCCAGGCAAGGGTAAATGGTGCTGCCACCTTCTGGGGACCCTGGAGCTGGGCGACTATGGGAGGGCATGCCTTTCCACGGCATCTGGGCATTTGCTCTTCAGCATCTCTCTGCTGCTTCCCTCAACCTTCTGTAAACACCAGGGTCAGCTTTCTGGAACTTGCTGGTGCTTGTCAATCATGTTCTGGCAGCAGCACCCAGGCCAGTTCCTGCTGCTGGTTTCTGCGGCCCAGGTTCCCTACCCGGCCAGAGGATAGGGTAGGGCCGGGAGCAGGGCAGGTGAGATCCGCGGCATCTCACACGCCTGGCTTGGGGTTTCAGATGGCAGTCTTCAGAAGAACATGTGCAGCAGTGACCTCAGCCCCCGAGACTGGCAGGCCCTGGTGAGCAGCCTGGACTCGAAGCCTGGAGACACCCAAGGGGCCCCCGAGGAAGCCTCGAAGGTAGTGCATTGCCTCCTTGGGATGTGTCTGAGCTCAGTACAGGGTCATCGGCCCATGGCCCTGTAATTATCCTGAGGCCGAACAGCCTGTGCTTGGTTTGTCTGGGGCAAACAGCAGCCAGTGCTACCCCGCTAATAGTTAATGTGCAAATGGACAGGCGGGTTCCTCCTGCAGCTCCCAGGAAGGGCGGGGTGCGAGGTGCACAGGAGGGAGGCAGGGGAGGGGACCAGCTCGGGGCATGGCCTCATCAATAGGTGAGAGCAACTAGGCGGGGACCACCAGCTGTCAGTCTACACAGGTGTCCACCTTCCACAGATGTGACGTCACTGGCTGTTCCCTCTCTATGGCTCCTAAGGCCCACTTTGCCAGGCACTGGGCTCCTCAGAGCCTCGCACGTGATGGGCCCACACCCCCGCACCCTCCTACCTCCCAGGAACCACACTTTGCCAATTCTCCAGACACCAAGGCTGACACAAGTCAGATGAGCGGTGGGTGGGCTGGTCCCATGCTAAGGGGATGTCTTATCAATAATAAGTGGCTCCCACTCAAGTCAGATTGGTCTTTAAAAGCTCTCTGCATTGATGCTGTTTCCCCAGGCAGAGTCACCAGGTACAGAGCCCGGCCCCGCGCCACCTGCGGTCCTGGAGTTGGAGGTAAGTGAAGGCTTGTGTGTCCACGTCCCCACACCCACTCCCTGGGACCCAGCGGGGCTTCCTGCAGCGCCCAGTGGCCCTGTCCCTCTCTCCGCAGCTCGTCCAGCGGATCCAGACACTGTCCCAGCTGCTCCTCAGCCTCCAGGTACAGGGCCTTTGGGGAGCGCAGCGGGCCACATGTGCCCTCCTCCTTCAGGTTGAGGCTGGGGTCTGGGGGACAGCTGGGCTCTTCCTAAAGCCGGCCCTCCCCTCCCCTCTCCCAGGTGGTCATCACCCAGCAGGACAGCTACGTGGAGATTCAGAAAGCAGCCATCCAGGAGCGTGAGAAGCAGTTCCGGCTGCAATCGACGCGCGGGAACCTGCTGCTGGAGCAGGAGCGGCAGCGCAACTTCGAGAAACAGCGGGAGGAGCTGGCGGGCGTGCAGAAGCTGCAGGGCCAGCTGCGGCTGGAGCAGCAGCGCTGGGAGCGCGAGCGGGAGCAGCAGCGCCGGGAGCTGGACCAGGCGTCCACGCGGCTGCAGCAGCGTGAGAGTGAGTTGCTGCAGCTGCAGGAGCGGCTGAACCAGGAGCGCGAGGAGCTGGAGCGCCAGCGCCAGGCCTACCAGCACGACCTGGAGCGGCTGCGCGAGGCCCAGCGGGCCGTGGAGCGCGAGCGCGAGCGCCTGGAGGTGCTGCGCCGGCTCAAGAAGCAGAACACAGTGCCCGGGGCGCTGCCGCCGGAGGCACTGGTGGAGGTGAGCGCCGGCCTAAGGTGCCTGTGCCTGAGAGCCTGAGTGTGCACGTGCGTGGGTGGGTGCGCGTGCCTGCGTTTTCGGGACAAAGGAGGAATGTTGATTCCATCAGGCCTGCACCAGGCTCTATGCCCAGATGGGACCCTCTGAGCTAAGACGCTTCAGTTAAGCCACACCTGGCCTGGGAGGTGGGCGGGCATGCCAGGTCCATCCAGCCTCCAAAAACCCCACCCCCACCCTGGAGCCTGCAAAGTGTGGGCGGGGCTGGTGCATGGCACCATGCTGATCCGCGGGGCGCAGCCTCTCCTTGGTACCCCAAGAAGGGCTTCCAGCAGGAACAGTGACATTGGGACGTGTCTTCTATGGCTTTTTCAGACCCAGCCTCTAAGCCACACTCCCAGCTTCAATGGGAACGGGCTGGAAGGATCCATGGCCCTGACCAAAGCACCGGGGCCCCGACCCAACTCGGTGGTGTCCAGTGCGGGGTCTGAGTACGCCGAGCGCCCTGAGGTGGCCCGCAGGGACAGCGCCCCGGCCGAGAGTCGCCCGGCCAAGAGTGATGTGCCCATCCAGCTGCTGAGTGCCACCAACCAGATCCAGAGGCAGGCAGCTGTGCAACAGCAGATCCCCACCAAGTTGGCGGCCTCCACCAAAGGCGGGAAGGACAAGGGAGGCAGGAGCCGGGGCTCCCAGCGCCGGGACAGCTCAGGTGAGCGGGGACTTCCTGGCACCCCCCTGCCCTCCCCTCGCCTGGTGCCCGCCTGGCCCCTTACCTCTGGCCCAGACACTGGCAGGAAACCCCAGCTGGTGGTGGAACTGAGACCTGCCTGCACACACAGACACACACACAACCACCTCGCCACCCCCAGAGACTTCAGAACTCAGTTCCTGTTCCCACCTCAGCCCTCACACTGGGATCAGACACAAGGGAGCACCTTGGTGATTCAGAAACGGGCCTCGGAAACCCTTGTGCAGGGGCGGGAAGTCCGCCAGTGACTGACGCTACTACTCCCCACTGAGTCCTTGCCCCCGAGCCAGTGTTCCCCAGTAGGAAGGCCCTGGGACCCTCCTGGGGAACAGGGCCCGGGTCCCAGGACCCCTGGGCTGCAGTATCACAGGGCCTCTTGTCCTGATTGAATAAGTGCAGGGGCCCCCTCTGGTTCGCCAGGGGTGTCTGCTCTGGGTTTTGTTGGTGAACTGGGGCCTGCTGTCTGAGCAGCATCCCTCCCTGGGAACCAGCACTGGAGGAAGTGTGGGCGAGGAGTGCGAGGCCCTGGGCCGAGGTCTGGGGGCTCCGGCACTGAAGCGAGACTGCAAACCCCAGTATCTTCCACCCTCTTTCAGCCTCGTTTGACCTGAGGCAGCCGCTGCTTCTCAACAAGCTCATGGGCAAAGAAGAGAACACCTCTCGGAACCGCCGCTCACTGAGTCCCGTCCTGCCCAGCTCCACGCCCCCCCAAGGTGAGCCAGTCCGCCCAGCCCACTACCCCCTGGCACCCATAGTGCCTGGCTGATGCTGACACCCACCACCCCGTCTCTCTTCCAGACCCCAGCCTCCCAGCCCCGACCCCAGGCCCAGCCGACGTCCCCACTGACAACCTCCCCCTCAAGGCCCGAGGGTCATCCTTCCAACCCGGGGCCCCATCCTCCACACCACTCGACAAGGAAGAAACCGGCAAGGAAGACGTCATCTTCTTCTAGGGGGCATGGCTCGGGGTGCACTGCCCACTCTTCATGCTCTGTGGCCCCACCCCACCCCCAGGCCCACCCTTTCCCCTTCCCAAGCAGGCCTCCTCTGACATCTGCCAGGATGGGGCAGGTAGGTCTGGCCTGCTGTCTTAAGGCTGCTCACTCTGAAGGATTAGCAGTGGTACCTGGGCAACTTTGTAAACCTTTTTTTTAACATGAAAAGGAAAGTTTGTAATGGAAGGTTGAAGCAAAGCTAACCCACGGAGCTGCCATCTGCCTCATAGCGCCCCATTCCAGCAGAGGAGAGTCCCACTCCGCGCTGTCTTTCCAAGGTAGTGACCAGGGCCACCAGGAGATCCTGGAGTGAGCCACAGTGACACCAGCAGGGGCCCGGTGGGGTTGGCTCTGTCCACAGAATCAGGCCGAATTGACTTCTAAAGCAGAGACCTCAGTGGGTTCATGGTGAACTTCTAGGCCAGGATGTGAGCCCACCCAGGGGTGGCCCACGGTTCACCCAGGACAGAGGGCCACAGGGCAGGCAGGGTGGCGGAAGGGGTTGGCCAATGGCATGCCCGGTATGTCCTGTAGGTTCGGAAGCTCGTCCTCAAAGGGGCTGACCGGGAGGGGACAGACCACAGCTCATTTTAATCTGGTGGAGGTTTTTAAAACCCACTGTTGTCAAAGTTGGTGCTTTCCCAAAGCGCCTCTCAGACTCAACGCCTGGCAAGCCAAGCCCAGGGCTTCCACCAGGGCTGGCGCATGCCTGAGGGTCCCAGCCCCGAGTAGAGAGTCCTCCTTCCCCATGAGGTGGCCCCCAGCTGGTGTCCCCAATGGATGGGCAGATACTGGGGTGACACAGAGCAGTGGGAGCAGAGCTCGGAAGGGACCAGTGTGGCCTGGGCGGTTACTGCTGCCAGCGAGTGCACAGATCGCCGCCTCAGGCACCTCACATCGCGTGAGCTGTTGCACGTTGTCATCAGCTCCCCCAGAGGAGGGCGAGGACCACCAGTGTAGCCTCTTGGTGCAGCCGCAGGTGTTGGGTGGTGCCGCGCATCCACAGCAGTCCTGGAGTGACAGTGGGTCACACCCACATTCCAGCTCTGGCCAGGTGCAGGCTCAGGGCCAGGGAGCATTCCAGCCTTCTCCTGCACCCCAGACTCCCCTGCAGAAGCCAGTATCCCGCCAAGCACTGGTGGGAAGACAGGTTCTGGGACGGAGCAGGAGCCTGGGCACCACGGCCCGCGGTGACAAGATACTGACACAGCCCTGGAGCTCTCCAGAGGAGCAGCAGCCCCCCTCCCCCGGGACACGTCCAGTCACCCATGCCTCATCTGTAATCACTGTGTTTGGTCCTGAGATGCATCGGAGCACTTTAGAAAAGCTGACTTTACATTCCTGTCCTGTCCTGAAGAGGACATTCCTGGGCCACGTGCCCCCACGCACGGGATCCTCTCTCACCCACCCAGGGGATTCCTGCAAGGATAAGTTCAAGGCCACGTGGTGGGAATCGGCCAAGGAGGCTTCCAGGCGGTGCCTGAAGCGGGGCAGCACCATGGGCCCATCCTACCAGGACCCTGAGGTCACTCCCGGGTACAGCCCAGTCTCGTTTGTAAAGTTAGGAGTTGAGCAAACATTCCTACTTTCGTGGGGTCTGTGCACATCTTCGTTAATTGTGATCATGACCTTAGTCAACCTGACGATCATTTTTTACAAAGAAAGCAGCATTTCCTCACTGGGGGTTGTCTGAACCGCTCTAGAACTTAAGACCTGACTCTAGCAATAAACGTGTCTAAAGGGAGCTGACTGGAGTCACTTTCTTTGGGGTTTTGTTTTAGGATAACCTGCCCAAACTTCAGTGCTGCAGGCTGCATGGCCAGCGGCAGGGGCACTCAGACCCTCTGTTTTGCTAGGAACTTGGGGAGCCCTGGACACCAGGCCCAAGGCCTTCTTGATGACCAGGCTGTGATTCTCCACCTCTCCTGGGAGGGGAGAGTGTAGGGAGGCAGGGACATGTCCCAGGCCAGTGACAGCCCTCACCCCCACCCGCACTTGGCATCAGCTCAGACTAGTGACAGGATGGACCGCACAGACAACCCCGGCCAGGCAGCTTGCTTTGGTGCCTGTGAGGAAGCCCCAGACAGCGATTCCACCTGGACAGTCAAGGCTGGGGGCAATGGCACTGCTGAGGTGGCGGGGGTACCCCAGCCTCCTGCGCTGGCTGGGTCCCTACCCATTTAGGCTGCCCCCCCCACCATGGTCCAGAGATCTCAGCCTCCTCGACGAGGGGGGACCCTACTGGCTTCTGGACCTGTCGGTCTCCCTCCTCAAAGGAGCCTAATTTGCCATACACATGCTCCCCCACATCCCACGAAAAAGCTGTAGATCCCCCTGGGGCTTGGTCCCCTGGAATAATCACCTTACTGCACCCCAACCTATAACTGAGCTGCCAGCCCAGGGAAGGGTACTGGGCAGGGGGCGCGGACACACGACTGGCAGTGCCCGCAGCCGTATCCCAGCCCTGCTGCCCAGGCCCTCGGGGATGCCAGCTCCTGGGGTACCTGTGACCTGCCGTATCACACAGGCAGGTGTTCTCGTGGTTCCCTGGCAAGCACGCTGCCTTGCAGGTGTTAACTCAGTTGGACAGGCAGGTGCCACTCTGACCCCACCCTAATCTCCCAGGTCCCCTGGGCGCCCCGAAGGCAGAGCAAGAGGGAAGGGGGAGACTGACCTGGCCCAGCCTCCTAACCCAGAGGGAGCCCCCCAGATGGACAGGGCAGGGGCTCAGCTGGAGGCCAGGTGGGGTCCTTGTGTCCTGTGAGACCCTGAGCGGGCCCACACCCCAGCTATTCCCCACCACGTACCTTCTTTGTAAAAGAAAACATGGTTGAAACCACAGGCTTCAGGGCCTGTAAACATGACCATTCATAGATCTTCCAGGGGCCAGTGAGTGAGGGGCAGGCATGGACCACCCGCCACCTGCCAACATCACCTGAGGCCACACACACACGTGGCCTCTGTTCCCCAGACTGGAAACAAACTGGTCCCTTCTCTCCCACCATGCTTTCACAAGCTGGGAGCCCCAGGCATCTCCAGTGATGATGCTCAGAGCCCTCGAAATGCTCAGACCGGTCCTGAATGGACCAGGGCAGCCCCGAGTCCATGCTGTGGCTGTGAGATGCTTCAGCCACGACAGGCACCCCACGATGCCTAGGAGCTTGAAACCCAGGCAGGGCCTGGCAAAGAAGGCAGCATCCACGGCCAGCCAAGGGTGCCCAAGCTCGTGGGCTAGGGAGAAAGGACCAGCCTCTGTGGCTGAGCCTCTCGGGGTCAACAGGCTGTGTTTGCAGCATCGGAGGGGAAGGTGGGCCAGGAGGTGGTGCTTCCTGCTGCAGCTCCAGCCCACAGGAGGCTGAACCCTGGCCCACGGGGAGTTGGTGGGGGAACCTGTGCGCCCTCCCAGAAATAAGGCCCAGGGGGCGCCCCCGACCACTGGAGAAAGTGGGCGTGAGAATGAGCAGACAGAGCCGGGGCTTAGGAATTCGCTCACACCTGACCTGACACCATCACCACCTCATTTAATTGATCCTCACTTCACATTCCTCAGGCCCAACCTGGCTGCCCTGCTTGCCTTTACTGCACACAGGACTCTGGCCTGCCGGGAGCCAGTTCCTCTGCAAGCGAGTCTTCGGGGTCTTCCTGCTCCACCCCTACTGAGGCAGCACCTGGGGGACCTCAGCCCCCTAGGCCCACCCCTCTGGGGGCTGGTACCCCAGACTGCTCTGGTGTGTCTTCTAGCCACACCTCCCTCCCGGCACCTGGCCGTGATCTGCTGGATTAGAGACCCGCCCCTCCCAGGCAATCACGCTCCATGGGAAGGGTCCCTGCTGGGGTTCTGGCCCCCCTATCCCTTAGGGGGTGGCGCTGGCCTGGCGGCCTGCCTGGACTGCCTGGTACACGCTGAGGAGGGAGGACAGGGTGCCCAGGAGGCCCACCAGCCACTGGGGGGAGCGGCCGGCCCACAGGACACCCGGGGGCAGCCAGTGCACTGCGTTGGCCAGGTCCGCCAGGTTACTCAGGAGGGTCAGTACCTCCGAGCAGATCTGGGTCTCCACGGTCCTCCGCTTGCCCCGGGCCAGCCGGCTGTGGGAGCAAAGGGTTGGGGAGGGGTGCTCAGGGAAGACCCCGAGTCCCCCGCTCGCCCCTCTCCCCCACTCCCTGCAGGGACAGGGCAAGGAGTGCTGGGGAGGGCGGAGGACCAGCAGGCTGCGTCCGTCACATCCACCAGAGGGAGCCCACAGTGGGAACCAGAGTCTCAGGTCCACGGGCGGGGGGAGGGGGGAAGGGGAGGGGTGAGCAGCTTCCGGGCCTGTGCTGGGCACCTGCTCTACCCAGCATTCTTTCCCCGGATGAGACAGTGACTGAACTTGGTCCTCAGGACACTGACTCCACCTCTGATCATCCTCCTAGACCCGGGGCCAGCCGTGAAGGCTCAGCCCTGGAGTCCCAGCTCTGCCACTTCCTGCCTAGGGGCCCCCAGCTAGCCTCAGTTTCCCCATCTGTAAAAGGGCTCCCATCTCCGGGGGGGGCCGCAGCGATGCCCTGGTACCCAGCACACATCAGGCCCCCAGCCCCACCCAGCAGAGCCTGCATGCATGGGGCAGGGCAGTGACTCTGGGCACCTCCTTGGCTGGGCAGACCCATCGTGGACCCCGGCTTGCCAGAAGAAGTCTTCTAGGGGAACCCTGGACGATGTACCTGGTGAAGGCTTCCGGGGGCTTCCTCAGCCTCTGTCTCAGCTTCAGGACCATCCACAGAGACCTACAACACCACACAGGCTGGGGTGGGAGCAGCTGGGTGGGGGGTCACCAGGTAAATGGGGTCCGGATGGGTGCAAAGCCTGTCCACTCCCCCCCTACCCACACACACCCTGGACACTGGCTGGACCTGTCTGAAGGGAGTCTAGACAACCTTCGGGGTCCCCAGGGCTGGATCTGCAGGCTGGAGAAGCAGCCACCAGATGGGCATCCAGTGCTCCCTCCAGCCTTTGTTCCCTGCAGTCTGGGCAGGTGACTCTCCGGCACCCCCGGGTCTTAGGGACCCCGGTCATGATGTTGTTCAGTCACTCAGTCATGTCCGACTCTTTGTGACCCCATGGACTGCAGCACACCCGGCTTTTCTGTCCTTCAACAGCTTCTGGAGTTTGCTCAAACTTGTGTCCGTTGAGTCATGATGAGCACACACCAAATGCTCCCCAGCCGCCATACCCTTGCTCACACCAAATACAGAGAAACGATGGGAAAACTAGCTGCTGTAAAATGAATGGAGGACTACCCTGGTGGCCCAGTGGTTAAGACTCTGCATGCCAATGCGGGGGACTCGGGTTCAATCCCTGTTCTGGGAAGATTCCACATGCTGAGGGGCAGTCCAGCCCATGAGCCAACTACTGAGCCCGCATGCTGCAACTACTGAAGCCTTTATAGCACCTAAAGCCCCTTCTCCACAAGAGAAGCCGCCGCAGTGAGAGGCCCGACCGCTGCAACTACAGAGTAGCCCCCGCACAGCAACGAAGACCCAGAGCAGCCATAAATAAACGAAATTTTAAATAGATAAAAAGCAGCCTAAAAGGTATTTAATACAAAATAAGATGAATGAAGAACAGGCAGAACATATTCACCCTAAAAACAGGACTTTTAGGGCAGTGAAAATACTTCAGTGGTAGATACATGTTATCATACGTTTGTCCAAACAAAGCCCAACACAGAGCGTGAACCCTGCTCTAAACCATGGACGTGGGGCAATTAGGCCGCGTCAGCGTCAGTTCATCGACTAACAAATGTTGGGGTGTGGTGCCGTGTGGATGGTGGGGAAGTCTGCGTGTGTGCCGGGTACATGGGAAAACTCGGCTTCCAGTTCAGTTTTGCTGTGAACCTAAAACCGCTCTAGAAAAATAGTCTATTTAAAAGAAAAAAATTAAGGGAAACAAGGCAGCCCTGAAAGCAGGAATGGGAAGTCTCTTGGGGCCGCAGGTCACGGGGCAGCCTCAGAAGAGGCTGTGGCCTCAAAGGCACCCGGAGCCCAGCCTGGGCACCCTGAACTCACGGGGTGGGGGCGCTGGGGGCAATGCTGAAAGACAGGGCCAGCTCCATAACAGAAAGACAGGGCCAGCTCCATAACAGCTGCCGAGACTGTGAGGGGAGCCGTGTCCCTGGACCAGGAGAGCAAAGACAAGTGAAGACGCGTCAGCACGGTGTCCGAAAGAAAGACTGCTGGGGCTGACACGTGTGCACTGCCGCTGTTTGGCCGCTCAGTTGTGTCCGACTCTGTGACCCCGTGGACTGCAGCCCGCCAGGCTCCTCTGTCCATGGGATTCTCCAGGCAAGAATACTGGAGTGGGTAACCATTCTCTCTTCCAGGGGATCTTCCCGACCCAGGGGTCAAACCCGCATCTCCTTGGCAGGTGGATCCTTTACCACTGAGCCACCTGGGAAGCCCACTGCTATGTATAAAGTAGATAATTAATGAGAACCTACTGTATAGCTCAGGAACTCGGTGCTCTGTAGTAGCCTAAATGGGAAGGAAATCCAAAACAGAGGGGGTCCAGGTATACATACAGCTGATTCACTTTGCGATACAGCAGACACTAACACAACATTTTAAAGCAACTAAACTCAAAAAGAAAAAAGTTTTTGTTTTTTTTAAATCAAAGACTGGGAAAAATCACCAAAGTATAAAGAGAGAGGATCTTTG